CATATGTGTAGAGAACCTATGGATAACCCAAAAAAGTCAGAGTGACTTATTTCCATTGGGGTCCTTTATCATAATTTATTTTAAACCCTATATGAGGGATTAGATTATTCTTGACGCTAGCGAACATGTGAGATACGGCCATAAATGGCCCTCATGCAGTCGATAGGCTCTAAATTAAGGTCGGGCTATGAGTGACGTGCAGTCAGGATACAACCATTTAAGCTGTGACAAAGATTTTAACAGGCTTTGAGAGCCATTCTGACATACTAGCTATAATCGTGCAGATTTAAGCATTTCCTGGTACTCCTTCGCTACAACGTTGTTATCTTTATTTTGAATTCCGTAGATTCATCCTTCCTAGTTTATACACTTAATCTGCTTTCCCTTCATCCTCCCCAATTTCCAATCCCTTACATTTGTCTTGATTTAAGTCAAGCAGCCACTTCTTTGCCCACTTTTTTAGTCTGTTCAAGTCTTCTTGTAACCTGTAACCTGTCTCCTCTTCACTGCAGTATTTTTTTTTTCTTTCTATCTGCTTATTTGTGGATAAATACTTTTTATAGGAGTGTTACCTAGTTTAACATAGCCCAACTTAACATAGTCTAACTTCAAGTAAAATAAGAGAAAACGTTAAGAAATTGGCGTTGGTAATCTGGTCAGTAAACGAAATTTTACTAGCAAAATGTGAATATTTTGCAACAAGACCGGCGTCTTGTTCAGTGTGGCAACATGGAGACGCTCCCTGGCTCGCTACTGACGAATTTTAATACATTCACGGCAGCGTTAAACCTTTAGAAGTCGTATATCACCTAGGGGAATGGGAGGCAATGAAGTTTTATCTAAAAAGAGGGAAAGGAGGTCCAGTTCCTTGGATCAAGAGCCCGTTAGTAACCTCTAAACGCCTCCTTTGATGTGTGGGCAATGAGAAGCCGCACTATCACTAAAAGATAGCGTGGGAAGAGAGCATCATACTCAAGGTTATCTCCCCAAGTGGTACTACCAGGAGCTCTCACACCACTCAAGAAAAACAAAACAATTATGTTATGAAGCGTAATTGTGTGTACCATTCAGCATATTACTATATTAATGAAAGCATTCGTTCTAACACGGGTCGTCATCAAGTGATGACCTGTCTCTGACTCTGAGGGAAGATTACTGTTTATGCTCATGGTTTGGTAAGGTTTGTCAGGAAACATGCAATTTTCCAACCGGGGGTCTTAATCATATGATATCGCGCGGGAGTTTCGGGTTCTCTGACCGAGCCTTAGCGGTTCCAGTTTTCCCCTTTAAAAAATTATGGTTTTTTTAATAGCCATTAGGAATTTATCTCTGGGGGGGGCCTTTCTATATATACCCCTGGCCGTTATTCTTGACTGTAAATAAGGTTTTAACAGTAAAACAAGTGATAGTAAGAGAGTTTATCTTTTTTCCGAATGTTTCATGTACACAGTGGGGCTTCCTAAATCAAAATTTATTTTCCCTCTGTATTCGACTAAAAAGTTATGTGTATGAGAAACGTTTCGAAAATAAGTATAACAGTTACACAGTGCTTTACTATCAGTTCCGTCTGGTACGCTCCCCCTGCAGAGCGTTGGTGAAGAGACCATAGTCTTCAAAACTACGGGATCTTCACCAAATCCAAGACGGGAATTGACCCCTATTTTTTTAAAATTTACATTTTCAACATTATGTCCTTGTTTATGCCCTAATTGGGGAAACGTTAAAATAAACTTCAGATTTTTGCAAGGGCAATTCTTCATTTTCCCGGTTTATTGTATACCTTTTGTCCAAAAAGGTAAATAGGTTTTAGGGTTTCCCCAAAAGGGTCTCAGATTTAAAAAGATAAGTTCTTCCCAGTTTAACTGGTAATGAAAATTTAAACAACCTATATATATACAAATGGTACGATACACCAGCGTACAGAGACAGAATGGTTAAAGGGGCACTAAATTTATAAAAACTTTCATTTTTGAAAACGAATATCTTGTAAATTTTAAAATAATTATTATATCAAAAAAAAGCCTAAACCCACTTGGTCTTATCAACAACAAAAGCTTGTTTAGCTGTGTCATTTTTTTCAAAAATAGTTGTTATAAGACTAAACAAAGTGGTACCTTCGAGGAGGAGCGGGATGAGCACCAGCGCACCTTTTTTTAAAAGGGGTTTTGCTGATGGGGACGCTAAAAGAAACCTGGAAAACAACCCTTAGAGCAAGTGGGAGCGCCCCAGCTCCTGACTTAAAATCGTACTGATGGGGGAAACGAGGTGTTTCCTACAACCTCACCAACATGGGCAACTCCAAATACCCCTGGGGCTAGTGGCGTATCACCCCTTTCTTAACCTCCCCCATCGTACTCACCCCGTAACACCATCTTCCTCTTTCTTTGGGGTGGGTTTTGCCATCAATGGTGGGGGTAAGGTCACAGCCAACATCTTGATTATCATTACAGGATCAGCCACCCAAACTAACATAACCTAACTTAATAAAATAATGATCTTTATTTATAAAAAAAAAAATACTGTATATGCAAAACATACATATGTTTCGGTCTAAGTCGTACCAAATCGTCGTCCTAAGTTCTCTTTCCTATATGCGGGTTATTTGTGTATAATCTGAAGGCCCATGTAATGTATATTCCAGCCCATCTTAAGATTCCTATGTTAGTCAATATAGTAATTTCAACATACAAACTTTCCAGAAAAGCGTAACATGTTGTTTTTTCCAAGACATACGTAATTATACCGACATAAATGGGATTTTTTAGGCTATTCTTTGCCATCTCACTGACTACTTAAAATGATTACCATAAATTAACGCTAAAACACAACCCAATATAACCTAACCTAAATAACGGAAGAGAAACTATATGAAAAAAATTATGTAAAAACTATAGGTCCGGATATATTATTCATGTCTGGAATAATAACGAGTATATTTTGACGTATGTTTATTTTGATGTATTCCTGAGAATTTCTTGCAATGATAATGACACATGTTTCTTAATGATAATGACGTATGTTTCTTAATGATAATGACACATGTTTCTTAATGATAATGACGTATGTTTCTTAATGATAATGACACATGTTTCTTAATGATAATGACGTATGTTTCTTAATGATAATGACGTATGTTTCTTAATGATAATGACACATGTTTCTTAATGATAATGACGTATGTTTCTTAATGATAATGATGCATGTTTCTTAATGATAATGACGTATGTTTCTTAATGATAATGATGCATGTTTCTTAATGATAATGATGTATGTTTCTTAATTATAATAAACGTAATTTTCTTAATGATAATAAAATGCATGTTTCTTAATATAATGATTGTATGTTTTTAATGAAAATATGTATGTTTTTTAATGATAATGATGTTTTGGTTTCTTAATGTTTAATGATGTATGTTTCTTAATAATTGATGAAATGTTTCTTAATGATAATGATGTAGTTTCTTAATAAATAAGATGCATGTTTACTTATGAATATGATGTATGTTTCTGAATGATAATGATGTATGTTTTTTAAATGATAATGATGTATGTTTCTTAATGATAATGACGTATGTTTCTTAATGATAATGACGTATGTTTCTTAATGATAATGACGTATGTTTCTAATGATAATGATGAAATGTTTCTTAATGATAATGATGTATGTTTCTTAATGATAATGATGTAGTTTCTTAATGATAATGATGTATGTTTCTTAATGATAATGACGTATGTTTCTTAATGATAATGATGTATGTTTCTTAATGATAATGACGTATGTTTCTTAATGATAATGATGCATGTTTCTTAATGATAATGATGTATGTTTCTTAATGATAATGATGTATGTTTCTTAATGATAATGATGTATGTTTCTTAATGATAATGATGTATGTTTCTTAATGATAATGATGTATGTTTCTTAATGATAATGATGCATGTTTCTTAATGATAATGATGTATGTTTCTTAATGATAATGACGTATGTTTCTTAATGATAATGACGTATGTTTCTTAATGATAATGATGCATGTTTCTTAATGATAATGATGTATGTTTCTTAATGATAATGACGTATGTTTCTTAATGATAATGATGTATGTTTCTTAATGATAATGATGTATGTTTCTTAATGATAATGACGTATGTTTCTTAATGATAATGACGTATGTTTCTTAATGATAATGATGCATGTTTCTTAATGATAATGATGCATGTTTCTTAATGATAATGACGTATGTTTCTTAATGATAATGACGTATGTTTTTTAAATGAAATGATGTATGTTTCTTAATGATAATGACGTATGTTTCTTAATGATAATGATGTATGTTTCTTAATGATAATGACGTATGTTTCTTAATGATAATGACGTATGTTTCTTAATGATAATGATGTATGTTTCTTAATGATAATGATGCATGTTTCTTAATGATAATGATGTATGTTTCTTAATGATAATGACGTATGTTTCTTAATGATAATGATGTATGTTTCTTAATGATAATGATGTATGTTTCTTAATGATAATGACGTATGTTTCTTAATGATAATGACGTATGTTTCTTAATGATAATGACGTATGTTTCTTAATGATAATGATGTATGTTTCTTAATGATAATGACGTATGTTTCTTAATGATAATGACGTATGTTTCTTAATGATAATGATGTATGTTTCTTAATGATAATCATGACAACCATTCACATTTCCTGTTATGATAATCGTGAGTATTTCTAGCAATGATAATCACACATTTCTTACGATGATAATCACTCGTTTCTAGCAGTGATAATCAACCATGTTTCTTACGATGATAATCACTCGTTTCTAGCAGTGATAATCATGCACGTTTCTTACTATAATAATCGTGTTTCTGGCAATGGTAATCATGCATGTTTATTACGATAATAATCGTGTTTCTGATAATTATACATATTTCTATCAATGATAACTGTGTTTCTTACAATTAAATGTTTTTCTTGACTGTGACACTAAACTGGGGTTGGTGTTGTAGATGTGGACACACCTGCGTCGGCCCGTGGGCGCGGTGATCGGCATGGTGGGTCAGTTCGTAGTGTTGCCAGCCATGGGCTTCTTGTTCGCCGTGATGTTCAAGCTGCGTCCCTACGAAGCCCTGGGCGTTCTGGTGGTCTCCTGCAGCCCCGGGGGCTCCTTCTCCAACTTCTTCACCTACTGGGCTGACGGAGACCTGGCACTCAGGTACAGTAGGGGCACCGCTCGTGGGTGGGAATGGGTGTTTTTGATAATGACTGCCTTGTATGGGCCAGTAGGCCTACTGCAGTGCTCCTCCATTTTTCTGTTCTTAACTATTCAATGTAGATAAATGGTTCAGAGAACCCACAAGTTGATAAATTAGACACATGAGCAACACTTGGGTATCTTTATTGTAGAAACGTTTCTCCACACAGTGGCTTCATCAGTCCATACAAAGAAGAATGGTGAAGATCAGAAGGACTTTGAGGTTATCAGTCCCTCAGCCTAGAGTCGATGTTAAAACAAAGAATACCATTATCTTTATTTCCTAAGTATATGGCCTGGGTCACTCCAGTAGTTGCTCCCGGGACTAGTCCACTGGACTATATGTAGTATAGTGAGATTACACAGTGGTGCTGCCAGATAAGATTATCTTAAGTAAATAATTGTGTATTCCAAATTTGAGACCACAGTCTATAGGTCAGGGCAAACCGAAGAAGAAAAAGAAGAGATGAAGAAGAAACAGGAGGAAAACTAATACAAACACTACTGAAAAAAGGTCTTGATACCGTCAAGATGTGGAAGACGCTTACTTAAAGTTCACAACATTTATTACTGTACATAAGTGTCCATTTTTCCACACAAAAACAAAGATTATCTTTAAATTATTTACGTATAAGGATATTAAGCCAGAATAACCCAAAAAAAAATCTAAGCAGTGTGGCTTATTTCCGTTTAGGTTCGTCGGTGCTTGTTTCCAGGATGCGTCCCACAACAGGTTACTTGTCCAAGATGCGACCCACAACAGGTTAATTGTCCAAGATGCGACCCACGACAGGTCACTTGTCCAGGATGCGACCCACAACAGGTCACTTGTCCAGGATGCGACCCACAACAGGTCACTTGTCCAAGATGCGACCCACAACAGGTCACTTGTCCAAGATGCGACCCACAACAGGTCACTTGTCCAAGATGCGACCCACAACAGGTCACTTTTCCAGGATGCGACCCACAACAGGTCACTTGTCCAAGATGCGACCCACAACAGGTCACTTGTCCAAGATGCGACCCATGACAGGTCACTTGTCCAGGATGCGACCCACAACAGGTCACTTGTCCAAGATGCGACCCACAACAGGTCACTTGTCCAAGATGCGACCCACAACAGGTCACTTGTCCAAGATGCGACCCACAACAGGTCACTTGTCCAGGATGCGACCCACGACAGTCGACTAACACCCAGCTTACTTTTTACTGCTAGGTGCATATGGGCAGCCTGCATAAATAGACTTTCTCTTGCATTGTGATTCACCTGGGAAAAGATTCCAGGTCCTTTCAGTTATAAGTTGAACCTCCTTTCAGTTATAAGTTGAACCTCCTTTCAGTTATAAGTTGAACCTCCTTTCAGTTATAAATTGAACCTCCTTTCAGTTATAAGTTGAACCTCCTTTCAGTTATAAATTGAACCTCCTTTCAGTTATAAGTTGAACCTCCTTTCAGTTATAAGTTGAACCTCCTTTCAGTTATAAGTTGAACCTCCTTTCAGTTATAAGTTGAACCTCCTTCAGTTATAATTTGAACCCCTTTCCAGTTATAAGTTGAACCTCCTTTCCCGTTTATAAGTTGAACCTCCTTTCAGTTATAAGTTGAACCTCCTTTCAGTTATAAGTTGAACCTCCTTTCAGTTATAAGTTGAACCTATTACTAGAAAACTTTAGGACGTCAGAAAATCAATGTGACCTAACTCGCACCTCTCTTGTTGTTCCCCCTCATCGTTAGTGGGTTCGGGTTTGAGAAAGACCTGCCTAGTATGGGCCATTAGATCCTGATGTTCTTACTAGGTTTAACTGTTCGTGGCTTATTAAAATCAGCTACGTTGGCGAAACATCGTTAAAATTGGATTAGTACAACTTCACGTGTCTCCTTACATTCGTGGTTATATATCATACCATTAAATAAGATGAACTTTGATAGCTGGTACAGACAAGTGGTTAAGAAAGGCACATTAGCAAACACTGGTAGAGGCGCTGGGAACCTTTTTCTAGGTTGGAAGGCAGCATTAAATTTAGCTGTAATCTAAATAAGGCCGCATCCAAGAAGTTTTGATTATACTGCAAAATGTCGGTTATTTTGTAAAAAGCTAATTATTATCTAATAACTTCAATAAGAATAATTCATTCAGAAGGCCGCACGTTCCCCACCCCTGCACTAGGATATTTATTATTGTCTGTATCCTAGTGTTTACTCGCGAGTCTTTGAAACCATTACAACATATCTTATAGTGCTCTTCTTAATCTTATAATACACTCTTCTGACTCGCTGGCTTGAAAGCATTAAGAGTTTTCTCCGGCGATCGCAAATTGACAAAATTTCTGTTCATAAAATAAAAAGCCGGTCATTTATTCTGATGTTTTCTTTGCGGCAGCTAACAAGCCATGTTTCTCCCGTAGCATCGTGATGACTGCATGCTCGTCTCTCCTGGCCTTCGTAGGGATGCCCTTCAACCTGTGGATGTACTCACGGTATTGGCTGAACGAAGACGACGAGGATAACATCGTCGTGCCCTTCCGTAACATTATCATGTCCTTGGCCTTCATCACCCTCCCCGTCGTAGTGGGAATGATCATCAGGCACTTCAGCGAGAGAGCTGCCGGTATCATCACCAAGGTGAGGAAGGCGCTATGATGCTTGTCAGGAGGAGGAAGTTTACAAGAAGCGTTAAATTAATTCACGTTGGCTACCTTGTAACATTAACGTCGTAAAATGAGTGTAGGTTCTCCTTAGATGTGTAGCGGTCGGCCCTCCTTAGATGTGAATCGGTGGCCCTCACTTCGAGAAAACCAGAAGACAGATCAGAAGAGGTAGGAGAAAGCCAAGGTCAGGTCAGGTCACGCGTGTTCCTTAGATCAGGGTTTTTGAGAATGAACTAAGGAAGACAAGTATTAAAACCAAAACCGTAACTGGTATGAGGGTTATTTCAATAAGAGAACGTGTGTTAGAGCAGGAAGAGGGATAGATCACTTAGTCAGGATCATCTTATAGGATGGTTACGGTCTCTAACATGACAGAAAAAAATGTTGCTCTTATCAGCAAAGCAAACACTTCTCTTGTGTTACTTAAGTCAGCCAAAAATGAAGCGGCCAGTATTTACTTTTAGTGTTTTAGAGAAGTCAAGCGGAGTAGGAACTGGAGTAGACACCGCAAACATTTTTGTGAGAAGCATGATCCCATAAAAATATTGGGTTACTCAGGAGGCGGACTAGTTTCCAACTCATGACAAACAAATCCTAAAACTAGCAGAAGAGTGCTGTAACCTCGAGACTGCGCCGTCTAATGGTTAGATCAGGTTAGTAACAATTTTATTTTAGCATGATACATGTTTGTACAAAGGAGTGTAACAACTGGGTGAACATGCCAAAAGCCCCTTTATATGCAGAGCATTTCGGCCAAACTTAAGACTAACTTAAGATTAATAAAGTAATAACAGTGCTGTAATTGTACATATGGTCATTAGTTGCGTAACAATGAATACAAGAAAAATTAATATTCAACTAGTTCACGGTATATGGCTTTAATAAGTTAAGTAGAGAAGAATTACAGTTTTGATATAGTATAAAAAAATACAGTATTACAATTTAGCACAAATTAAAACAAAGAAATTGAAACAATTTTAAGTTTGGAATAATGATCATATAGCTGAGCAGTCATAAATTAAGAGTTTTTTGAGTAACTGGTAGATGTTAAGTATAGTGTTCGTCTGGTTAATTTTGGGTGATGAGGTGATTTCTAAGTAGGGTCTTAAATTGATTTGCAGGCAGCAGAGACCCTTTAGTGTGTTCTGGCAATGAATTCCAGGTCTTCGGGCCCTTTATGTGTATAGCATTTTTGCAAAGAGATGGACATGAGGGATATCGAAGAGTGATTTGTGCTTTGTGTTATGCCTATTTGTTCTGTTATAGTTATCAAAGAGGAGTTTGAGAGGAGAGTTTATATTAGAGTATAATGTTCTGTGTGTGTAGTAGGCACACTAATAAGTGTGGATGTTTTGTATATTAAGCAAATTAAGACTCTTTAAAAGCGGTGGAGCATGGTGTCTAGTGCAGCAGTCCTCTAACAGGTCATGGTCAACTGTACCAAATGTTATTCGTAGATCTATGAAAAGTCCCAGGGGAATTTAATTTTTTTCGAGTGCCGAATATATTAGTTCAAGCATATATATAACTGCATCGTTAGTATTTTTTTTCGGTCTAAATCCAAATTGGAATAGACTTGTTCGTGAATTAATTTTTCGAAGATTTTAGATAGTAGGGGCAGGTTTGATATAGGCCTATAGTTGCTCAATTCAGTTTAGTTGGTTAATGGAATTTAAACATTATCTACTACAAGAGGGTCGTGAAGGCTGCATATTGCCTGCTCACCACCAGTCAAGAATCTTTAATCTCTAAAAAACTGTGTATACATATCCTAGCCAGATCACTGGCCTGCTAGATTCAAGACTGGTTTACCTTAGTTTCAAATCCCGGCCATTTCCTGAGTTCTTTACAATCCTGTTAATACAACTATCGCGAGAATTATAGTGTCATTAAATGTTCATGAAGATGCTAGCAAGAAATTACGAAGTCCCTAGAATATATCTTGGTCCTTGGAGATATCTTCCACGTCAACAACTCATCCAATGGATATAAGTCATACTAACTGTCTTTCTTGGATTAACCTGGATTACTTACCCTCCGGATTAATAATCTGAATAATATCTTCTATTAGTCTGATGAAATTGAACTTTTAATATCCCAGAGGACGAAATGCGAGCGTCATTAAGATTTTACTAGTGAAAAATATAGGGAATACAGAGAAAAGAGTTTTCACAGTGGAAATGAATGTAACAACACACAGCAGCTAACACCCGGGTACCTATATACTGTACAGCTGCGGTAGGTGAAATGGTATAAGGAATCTTGCCCTGCGTGTGTGGGAAGGCTTGTCCGTATGTCTCTCAACAGACGATTAAAGTGATGGCCAAGATACGTTTAAGTTACCTGTGTGTGTGGCAGCAGGTTGGTATAGCAATACCAAGAGCATTATTTATATTCACGGGGGAGGGGTAAACGTGTAGGTCATACAATTCCTGGGGCAATGAAAGGCATTTACGATCGATCCAAGGAACTGGAGCACAGGTATAGTTTCTTAGAGCAAAAACATGTAAACTGTAATGAGAGGAGATTGAGTAAACTCTCCGGCTTTATATCTCAGAAAGAGCATATTACATACGTGTTGAAAATGGAGTAAAATGCTGAGTTCGGCTCCATGGAGCTGGACTCTTCTCCAGGCTGAGGGACTCACCACCTCAAATACTGTTTCTCCAAAGTTGGACTGATTACATTTTCATTTCACTACCACAACTGCTGCCTATATTTGCTTTAAGAAACCTACTGTGTAGGCGAAACTTTTCAACAGTAAAGTTACCCAACTGTTGTACACAAGTCGTAATCATCAGATTACTGACGTACCATACCATACAACAGTGTAAACAGATTCAGCATATTTTAACTAAGGTTGTTGAATTTTACAAAAATAATAATGGTTTGTTGCACTCAGATAACGATAATTTATAAATATAGTGATATATCTGTAGTTAATAAAAATACTCATACCTGCACACTCAAGCAGACAATGGCTTGTTACCTACTGTGTGATAATGTATACTGTCACTGTGGTTACAATTGAGGAACAATTTAACGAAGGTTGGTAGCGTTTTACAAAAAAAAAAAAAAAAATATGCAGGTTACTTTTTGGTTTAAAAAGACACCAGGATATGTTTATTAGAAAACGTTTCGCCCCTGGGACCTTGATCACTTCTCCAATTTGTCGGTATCAATTACCAAGGTTTATACCATTTTTCTTTCTTCTTTGTCATTATGTTAGTATGTTCCTTATTAAACTCGCTCCTGGAATCAAACCCGGGTGCTTGTGGTTGAATATCATTTTCTAGCAGCGAACAACGAGTCAACAGCTGTTAGATTCTAGCCTGTTAGGTAGGTTAGGTAAGGTTTGTCAGGAAACGGGACAAATATCTCCTGACGTGGATCTTAGTCATATGATTATCCGCAGCTGGAGCTTTTGGTCATCTGACCGAGGCCTTCCACTGGCTTACCGATCCACCCTTTTAAAAATTATGGATATGACTATAACCATTAGGAATTATATATTCAGCGTGTAATGAGGTGTTTCCTGGCAGGTGGCGAGCATGCTGGGTTGGCTGGGAGTGTTAATAATCTTCGTGATCTGGGTGATTCTGTATGGGCGTTCCTTCGTGATTGCTACGCCACTCATCTACGCCGCTGCTTTCCTCCTTCCGATCACCGGTTTTACTCTAGCATACGCTATCGCCAAGCTCACCTGCAGGGTAAGTTCTCAAGCTCACTCACAGGGTTAAGTTCTCACGCTCACCCACAGGATAAATTTTCACGCTCATCCCACAGGGTAAGTTCCCACGCTCACCCACACGGTAAGATTTCACACTAACCCCACAGGGTAATTTCCCACTCTCACCCACAGGGTAAGTTCCCACTTTCACCCACAGGGTAAGTTCCCACTCTCACCCACAGGGTAATTTCCCACTCTCACTTCACAGGGTAAAGCCTTAGTGATTTTGACGTTATTAGGTTACGCTATTTTAAATCTAAATATTGTATCATCTATGTACCATCAGATCTATTGAACAAAACTTATAGTGCTGTCTGTTGAACTACATGTAGAGTTTGAACATATGTGCAACGTCTGGGTATCTTTATTCCGAAACGTTTCGCCTACACAGTAGGTGTCTTCAGTCGAGTACGGAAGAGTTAGCAGAAGCAGTAGACATGTGAAGATGATGTAATCAGTCTATCACCCTTGAAGAGGTAGTTTTGAGGTTGTCAGTCCCTCAGCCTGGCTGAGGGACTCAAGCCTCTGTAGGCGAAACGTTTCGGAATAAAGATACTTAACTGTTGCACATGTGTCTTACGTATCATCTACATGTGTAAACGTTTCACCAACCACTGGCTTTATCAATACAATACAAGGACATAATGTGAAGAATGTAGAATTATATACAAAAGGTGAGGTAATCAGTCCCTCAGTCTTGGAGTTGGTGAAGATCACCGTAGTCTTCAAGACTCCAAGGCTGAGAAACTAATTACCTCATCTTTTGTATATAATTCTATAGTCTTCACATTATGTCCCCGTATTATATAGATAAAGCCACTGGCTGGCGAAACGTATACAAATAAAGATACCCATATGCTGCACATGTGTCTAATTCTTCATCTTGTCGGTATTGTATACCATCCATGTACACTTGTAGATTTTTTTTTAAATAAAGCTTATGTTGCGTCAACAGAGCCACAAAGTGTGTCGCACCATCGGTATAGAGACTGGATGCCAGAACATGCCTGTCGCACTAAGCGTCATCAGTCTATCCTTCCCTGAGCACAAGGTGAGTACATCACCCTCTCTCTTTTCCCTTGCTCAGTTTACACACACACACACACACACACACAGACATCCATACATAGCTTTAAGAAGAGATGAGATAAGGCTCTTGAAGCAGGAAGAGAGTGGACCGACCTAGCAGCGATCAGCGAAGAGGCAGGGATAAGAGCTGTGACTCGACCCCTACAACAACAAACTGGTGAATACACACACACACACACACACACACACACACACACACACACACACACACACACACACACACACACACACACACACACACACACACACAGCAACAAGGGGCCACAAGGTCACATCCCTGTGACTCAGATGAGTCACGGTGATGTTAGGAAGTATTTCTTCAGTCACAGAGTTGTCAGGAAGTGGAACAATCTCTTTGTTCATGGAGCGGAGAGAGTGGACGTACTAGCGACCAGCGAAGAGGTGTGGCCAAGAGCTGTGAATGGACCCTTGCAACCACAAATAGGTGAGTACACACACACAGTCATACGTACAGTTTTAGGAAGAGGTGCGATAGACCTCTTGGAGCAGAGAGTGGACCTAGTAGCGATGAGCGAAGAGGTGGGGAAAGGAGCTGTGAATCGACCCCTGCAACAACAAATGGGCGAGTACATACACACACACACACACACACTGACGCCATCTTGTATTCGTACGGATCACATTCACTCAAGTATTGATGTAATGAGAATTTCTTGGTTTTCTAAGGCTAGCTGGATGTTTGGAAGATTTGTATTATACATGAGTTACCACACTTGAGTTAGTATTACAGAAATTGTCAGTGTCATTAATAATAATAATAATAATAATAATAATAATAATAATAATAATAATAATAATAATAATAATCTTTATTTCTATATGTACAAGGTATACAGACCATAGCTGACATCAATGACATACTACTAGATAGAAAGCCACTTGTTATGAAAAGAATTTCGGGCAAATTAGGTCAATTTTGTCCCCATGATGCGACCCATACCAGTCGACTAACACCCAGGTACCTATTTTACTGATAAGTGAACATGGACAACAGGTGTCTTAAGGACGTCCTCGATTTTAAATAATTATTTTCTCTCGGTTTTTATGCAGGAAGACACTAATAATATTCCAGTAATTAATTTCTATAGTGGGCCAGAAGAAGATAAATTATGTAACATCACAGTCACTAGTGAAATGGTTGTGAAGCAGATAGACCGACTGAAGCAAAATAAGTCACCGGGTCCTGATGAGGTTTTTTCAAGGGTTCTTAAGGAATGCAAAATGGAAGTCTGTGAACCACTAACTAATATTTTTAATTTATCTCTTCAAACAGGTGTAGTGTCTGATATGTGGAAGATTTCTAATGTAATTCCTATTTTTTAAAACAGGGGACAAGTCGTTACCGTCAAATTACCGCCCAATAAGCCTGACCTCAATTGTAGGCAAATTACTAGAGTCAATTATAGCTGAGATTATAAGAAGCCATCTCGATAAGCATAGCTTGATTAATGATACTCAGCATGGATTCACAAGAGGCCGGTCTTGTCTAACTAATTTATTAACTTTCTTCAGTAAAGCTTTTGAGGCTGTTGACCACGATAAAGAATTTGATATTATTTACTTAGATTTTAGTAAGGCTTTTGATAGAGTTCCGCACCAAAGACTGTTAAAGAAAGTGGCAGCTCATGGCATTGGGGGATAAGTGCTCTCGTGGGTCGAGTCATGGCTCACAGACAGGAAGCAGAGAGTGTTCATAAATGGGGTTAAATCCGAGTGGGGATCTGTAACAAGTGGCGTTCCACAGGTATCAGTCTTGGGCCCGTTGTTGTTTATAATATATATCAATGATCTTGATGAGGGTGTTACTAGTGATATGAGCAAATTCGCCGATGACACAAAGATAGGTAGGATAATTGATTCAAACGTAGATGTTAGGGAACTTCAGGAGGATTTAGACAAACTATTCTTGGTCAGAAAAGTGGCAGATGCAGTTCAATGTAGATAAATGCAAGGTTCTGAAGCTCGGGAGTGTCCATAACCCTAGCACTTATAAGTTATATAATGTAGAACTTAGCCATACAGATTGCGAAAAGGACTTGGGGGTTATGGTGAGCGGCAACCTTAAACCAAGACAGCAATGCCTAAGCGTACGTAATAAGGCAAATAGATTACTGGGATTTATATCAAGAAGTGTAAGCAACAAAAGTCCAGAGGTTATACTGCAGCTTTATACATCATTAGTAAGGCCTCACCTAGATTATGCAGCTCAATTCTGGTCTCCATATTACAGAATGGACATAAATTCGTTAGAAAACATTCAGCGTAGGATGACTAAATTAATACATAGCATTAGAAATCTTCCTTATGAAGAAAGATTGAAGACTCTTAAGTTACATTCACTTGTTAGACGAAGAATGAGGGGAGACCTGATTGAAGTGTATAAGTGGAAGATAGGTATTAATAAAGGGGATATTAACAAGGTCTTGAGGATATCTCTCCAAGAGAGAACCCGCAGTAATGGATTTAAATTAGATAAGTTTAGATTTAGAAAGGACATAGGAAAGTATTGGTTTGGAAATAGGGTAGTTGATGAGTGGAACAGTCTACCTAGTTGGGTAGACTGTTTCAAATTTAGGTTGGATAAGTACATGAGTGGGAGGGGTTGGATTTGAGTGCGACTTGCACATCAGAGCTTATTTCTTGGGTAGCATTGAAAATTGGGTTTGTCAAATGTTTGTTAGTGGGATGAATTGCCTAGTATGGGCCAACAGGCCTGCTGCAGTGTTCCTCCGTTCTTATGTTTCCAATCGTACCGGGAATTGACTCCCGGACCTCAGTGTGGGAGCTGAGTGCGCTACCAATCGAGCTACGGACACCTAACTGAGGTGTTAGATCAATAATTGTGTTTATAGACGTAACTGTCTTTGTAGACAAAAAAATGAAACATTAACACTTGAATAAATGATAGGGAATGTATTTGCCTAGACGGCCGGCGTATTAAAAAATACACACCACCACCATCATCCCTATTACACCACCACAACGACTATTAAAACACCACTACCGCCAAAATTACTATTACCACTACCCACCACAACAATGAGCTGTCAGTGGCCCTATAAACCCCAACAACAACACAATAATGAGCGTCACCCTTCCTAGCACCACTAACACCAGTCGTCATTATACTCCACAGACGCGGGCGCAGATCGTCATCTTCCCCACGCTCTACGGCCTTATCTTGATTCTCGAGGTGTTCCTGGGCATATTCTCTTTCAAGATGTATATGAAGAGATGTTCTTCCCAAGACCAGCCAGACGTCGATGTCTCCATGACCTACACAGCCAAGACTGAGAAAGGAACAGCAGCAGAAAAGCAACTTGCCATAGTCACTAGTTGATTAATATGAGAGAGAGAGAGAGAGAGAGAGAGAGAGAGAGAGAGAGAGAGAGAGAGAGAGAGAGAGAGAGAGAGAGAGAGAGAGAGAGAGAGAGAGAGAGAGAGCATGTTCGTACAGCATAATGACATCAGTTAAACAAGTAAAATCGTTGGCCCACAAATGGCTCCAACTTCATCCTGTTCTCTATTTGTAAGTCTCATAAGAATAAAAAGGTTTTCAAATGAGCTGATGTAGGTAACAATTCTTAAATAAAGTTAGCAACCTTAACCTAACCTTGGATAAAAAGACACAAGCGCAGCTAATGTGACATTTTATTGTGGCAACGTTTCGCTCTTCAGGAGCTTTATCAAGCCGTTCCAAACAATACATGGACACAAAGGGTATATATAGGCTTCGAGTGAGGTGTAATAGTTGTAATACTAGTAGAGGTAGTAGTAGTAGAGATACATATGGTAGAAAAAGTCAGCTTGTACATTATTGCTATCCAAGCAATAATATAACCTAACCTTGTAAAACTCTGTGTAACAGAGAGAGAGAGAGAGAGAGAGAGAGAGAGAGAGAGAGAGAGAGAAAGCGCCTGCACACAGGAATAGCGTCTCCACTGTTATATATCACGACCCTTGGCTCTCCTGCGAGACATGATCACGCTAAAAAATCCCAAGTCCAGTTGACCTGACTAATTAGGCAGCTTACCACGCACATTCACGGGTAAGCGCTAAATCCTCAGGGAGGGAAAGATAACCACGTTTGATCCACGGAGAGGCTAGCTCCAATTCCCTGGATCAAACGCCCCAACCCACCCTGAAGCAGGTATAGAGGATCGGGAAATCCTGCGTGCTGTGTTGACGGTCCCCCAGGGGGGGGGGTAATGTTTATTTTTCACTTTATTGTACGACTCATTTTATTGCAATAAATTCAAAGAGTACCAAGTTGGATTTTATTTAAATCTTTTATTACTGAGAATGTGATAAAAATAATTATCTTTCAATACTTTAAAAAAAATAAAACTGCATTATAGAAAAATCAAACCATACCACGGGTGGGGATAGAACCCGCGGTCAGAGTCTCAAAACTCCAGACCGTCGCGTAAGCTAGCTAGCCCAGTGGCTAACGCGTCGGTCTGGAGTTTTGAGACTCTGATCGCGTGTTCTAACCCCACCCTGGTATGGTTTGTTTGCAATCGTGTTATTACGATTTCGTGAGTCGTGCATTACAGAAGTTAAATATATTTTAATTAATGTTGCTCTACCTGTCTAGAAATTACTAGTAGAAGTAGCAGTGGTGGTAGTAGCAGTAGTAGTAGTATCAGTGGTACATATTTCACTGACTGGTGAACACTGGATCACAGTATATGAGCTAGCGTTCTAGCTTCGCTATTTTCGCATTGACGTGGATAACTTTTAAGTGAAATTCTCCCTTTGTTTGTCTGTACTTCAAAATAATCACAATGAAGCAGGTATCTGAAAGTGATGTGAGCATGAAACATGACGGAAGACAACTGAGTGAGGCAACAGTCAAGAACCCAAGCAAATAACAACATTCCTTGAAGCACTGGAACCCAACAATGGATGGTGTCCACAGTACACAGCGCATGCACATGCATGCTAGTGACTTTCTGCTGTGTTTAACAATATTTTATTGTATGTAAACTATTTTTTTTACTCCCCGGAGTTTACCTATAGAAGGTTCCGGAGGTCAACGCCCCCGCGGCTCAGTCTGAGACCAGGCCTCATGGTGGATCATAGTCTGGTCAACCAGGCTGCTACTACCGGCCGCACGCAAACTGACATACGAACCACAGCCCGGTTGGTCAGGTACTGACTTTAGGTGGCTGTCCAGTGCCTTCTTGAAGACAGCCAGGGGTCTATTGGTATCCTCCCTTATGTATGCTGGGAGGCAGTTAAACAGTCTTGGGCCCCGGACACTTATTGTGTTGTCTCTCAGTTTACCCGTGGAGCCCCTGCTTTCCATCGGGGGAATGTTGCATCTTCTGCCGAGTCTTTTGCTTTCATAGGGAGTGATTTTCGTGTGCAGGTTTGGTACCAATCCCTCCAGGACCTTCCAAGTCCATATTATTATGTATCTCTCTCGCCTGCTTTCCAGGGAGTACAGATCAAGGATCTTCAACCGTTCCCAGTAATTTAGGTGCCTTATAGTACTTATGTGTGCTGTAAAAGTTCCCTGTACGCTCCCCAGGGCTGCAATGTCGCCAGCCTTGAAGGAAGCCGATAGTGTACAGCAGTATTCCAGCCCAGAGAGAACAAACGATTTGAAGAGTGTCATCATGGGCTTGGCGTCCCTAGTTTTAAAGGTTCTCATTATCCATCCTATCATTTTCCTAGCCGATGAGGTAGAAACATTGTTGTGGTCTTTGAAGGCGAGATCATCTAACATTATCACTCCCAGGTCCTTCAGATTTCTTTTTTGCTCTATTGTATGGTTAGAATTTGTGGTATACCCTGATACATTTTTAATTTCCTCAAGTTTTCCATATCTGAGCAGTTGAAATTTCTCCTCGTTGAACCTCATATTGTTTTGAGTGGCCCATTTGAAGTTTTGGTTGATGTCCGCTTGGAGTCTTGCAGTGTCTTCGATGGAGCTCACTGCCATGGCAATCCGGGTGTCATCCGCAAAGGAAGACACGGAGCTATGGCTTACATCTCTATCTATGTCCGAAATGAGGATGAGGAACAGAATGGGAGCGAGTACTGTGCCTTGTGGAACAGAGTTTTTTCCGTGGCTGCCTGGGACTTTACTCTGTTTACTACTACTCTTTGTGTTCTATTTGCCAGGAAGTTATAGATCCATCTACCAACTTTTCCTGTTATCCTTTATCACGCATTTTGTGTGCTATTACACTATGGTCACACTTGTCGAAGGCTTTTGCAAAGTCTGTGCATACTACATCTGTATTTTTTTTTATCCTCAACAGCGTTCCAGGACCTTGTCATAGTGGTCCAGGAGCTGGGACAGGCAGGAGCGACCTGCTCTAAACCCATGTTGCCCTGGGTTGTGTAATTGATGGGTATCTAGGTGGTTGGCGATCTTGCTTCTCAGAACCTTCTCAAAGATTTTAATGATGTGGGATGTTAGTTTATCGGTCTGTAAAGCAATTGCTTTACTGACACCTTTGTGGAGTGGGGCTATGTCTGTTGTTTTTAGTGTGTGTGGGATGACCCCTGTGTCCATGCTCCCTCTCCATAGAATGCTGAAAGCACGCGATAAGGTCTTCTTGCAGTTCTTGATGAACACGGAGTTCCACGAGTCTGGGCATGGGGCAGAGTGCATGGGCATGTTATTTATTGCCTTTTCAAAGTCTTGTGGAGTTAGGATAATATCCGAGATTTTTGAGATGACCAAATTTTGGGTTTCGTTCATAAAGAATTCATTTAGATTGTCGACCCTTAGTCTAGGCAGCGGTTCGCTGAACACTGAGTCGTACTGGGACTTGAATATCTCACTCATTTCTTGGCTGTCATCTGCGTATGTCCCATCCTGCCTGAGCAGGGGTTCAATAATGGATGTTCTTTTTCCCTTAGATTTGGCATAAGAGAAGAAGTATTTTTTTTCAATCAAATTTGTCTGCTTAATGTTACGACACCCCAACGGGAAGCCATTGCTGGGTCACCGCATAATGATGATAATAATATTTTTTTTATTTCTACAAGTACATGATTCTGTACATGTCATCAGTTACATATTATACAGAAAGTCCTTGGTTATGCAGATCATCTCGGGCAACTTAGGTTAATCTTGTCCCCCAAGATGCGACCCACACCAGCCGGCTAACACTTGCTGCTAGGTGAACAGGGACAGCAGGTGTAAGGAAACATGCCCAATGTTTCCACCCGTACTGGGGATCGAACCATGGACACTCAGTATATCAGGTGAGTGCGCTACTAACCGAGCTACGGGACAAGACCCGGGCCGGGACTATGCTGGTGAAACAAACAGGAAGCACTGAAAAGCACACGTTACCCAACAAACCACACTTTAAATTTTCAAGGTTTAGCAAATGCAATAAAGTGGCATTTTACCAACTTTGCCCAGTAAGAAAAGTGACGTCTCAGCCAGCAAGAAGAAAAAGCTGGACCCGCTGAAAATCAGCAATGAGACCAATTCCGGAGCTCGATCGCTAGCTCACTTACCTCACACAATGTGGTCCTGGGATCGATCCCCTGTACGGGTGGAAACAAAAGGACATGTTTCTTTAAGACACTTGCTGTCCAGTGCTCACCCATCAGTAAAATTGGTATCTGGGTATTAGTCGACTGGTGTGGGTCGCATCCTGGGACAAAAGTGATATAAGATGCCCGAAATGCTCTGTATAACAAAGGACTTTCTAAATAGTAGTATGTTACTGATGTCAGCTAGACTTGTATACCTTGTACATGTACTTGTATACCTTGTACATGTATTTGTATACCTTGTCCATGTACTTGTATACCTTGTACATGTACTTGTATACCTTGTCCATGTACTTGTATACCTTGTCCATGTACTTGTATACCTTGTCCATGTACTTGTATACCTTGTACATGTACTTGTATACCTTGTCCATGTACTTGTATACCTTGTCCATGTACTTGTATACCTTGTCCATGTACTTGTATACCTTGTCCATGTACTTGGATACCTTGTCCATGTACTTGTATACCTTGTCCATGTACTTGTATACCTTGTCCATGTACTTGTATACCTTGTACATGTACTTGTATACCTTGTACATGTACTTGTATACCTTGTACATGTACTTGTATACCTTGTCCATGTACTTGTATACCTTGTACATGTACTTGTATACCTTGTCCATGTACTTGTATACCTTGTCCATGTACTTGTATACCTTGTACATGTACTTGTATACCTTGTCCATGTACTTGTATACCTTGTACATGTACTTGTATACCTTGTCCATGTACTTGTATACCTTGTACATGTTATTTGTATACCTTGTCCATGTACTTGTATACCTTGTACATGTACTTGTATACCTTGTCCATGTACTTGTATACCTTGTACATGTACTTGTATACCTTGTACATGTACTTGTATACCTTGTCCATGTACTTGTATACCTTGTCCATGTACTTGTATACCTTGT